TATATTTCATTAGTTTTTGCAAACACGGAATTGTAAAGTTATCCTGGTGGCACCATTAGTATAATCACCGTATGCATTTAAGAACAGCTTGTGAAGGCACACAGCCCACCTTATATGCAGCCTCCATTGGTAGTACAAATCAATATAGTTTGTGTGGTGGTAGCATAATGACAGAAGTACCAATTTTATGCACGATTGGGAGGAGGTAGCAAGGCACGGATCGTGGTCAATAAAGAAAGTGCAGAGATCATGGTTTTGTGTTATAGTGAGCATTTTCCCATACATTTTTGTAACTTTCAGCTGGAAATGTTGGTTGGGAAGGAATCAACATGGGGGAGGCACCCCAACATATATATTGAGCAGTGCCGCAAAAACTTATTTGAACTGATACTCCTGCACCATACATGAAAAACATTACAGACAACCTGAGATTTGCATGCTACTTGCTTGCAAATGGCAATTTTGGCTTGCTGATTAAATTTCTACCAATTCTTGGATGTTGGTAATGCAATGTATCATTCTCTTGTAGCAGTTGGTGTTTTCATGATGTTCCCACACTCACCCTGATTCACCGGTTGTCCTGACGCGGACTGGCGGGAGGGGGAGGGGAGGGGGGGTGGTGGATTTCCTGATGTTTGCAAACTAAGACAGGCAGAGCCTCGCAAAAAAGAAACAAACAATGAGCTGTCTTTAACGAGATCTTGTGATTGGTAAGAATCCTCCTGTTGTTAACTGGCCCGTTTAGACCAGGTCAAAGGTCAAATTTGCCTGGAAACCAAAAATTAGTTTTGCATGTTCATATATACGAAAACATGCAATGTAGTGATATGAAACATAATTAGGCCTGTCCCTTGTTTAATTATGGGTACAATGGCATGCAGCTTTATCTGTTTGGAGCCTAGATTTTTAATGTAGGGTTTCGTTCATGTAGCAGCGCCAACTGTGCGCGCGCGGTCCGCAGTATCGTCGCTTGCCGCCCGCCGCATCCGCCGGCCTTGAATTGTCTCGCAGTGCTTAAAAAAACATCGCTACCCTGATACCAGAATTGCTAGGAACACTTTTTTGGTGCCAACACGTGTAAATAAATGTCCCAGAGGCTAACAAAGATTTAAGCGAGACTGCACAACGTGCACATTGGTACCCTCAGAAAACCGTCGAAGGGGGAGGGGGGGGGGTCGCATCTGCCGCCCTGCGCCTCCCGGGAGGGTGAATAACTTGTTCAGAAAAAGCCAGCCGTCTGATGTGATGTTATTCACATATTTCGATGCAATTTATCTGTTGTGGCACGGCGAAAAGCGCCCACCAGTTAAAACATGTTGCGCCGGGCTTGGGACATGCCTAAGGTATGACGGATAGTTTGATGGCGGTTGAGATGGGGCTCCTAGCGCACACATGATTTCCATAAAGGGGCATGGCCTCGTGGGGGCCCCGCATTTGAGTCATTCCCAGTGCCGCTTGCCACTGGTTGGGGATCTGCCATGAATTCTGCTGCCCTGGCTGTCGAGGTCCTTCGTTGTTTTTTTCTTGCGGTGAAGGAAAGCAAATCCAGCCGTAGATCGAGTTTCAACGTGAGATTCCGGCAAGTTGCGAGGCTGGAAGAAAACTCCTGTTGTGATTGGGCTATCTCATTAGTCTAGGGCAGGTGCGCCTGCTTTCCTAGCAGCAGCACTTAACCTGGCATTTGTGGAAGGACATCGTATGATTGAACGCTTCCGTTACGTGCATGATATTGCAAATCGCATTGATCAAAGAGACTTTCGGTGGTGAGCTGATTACTGATTACGCTACTGGGCATGGACGTAATAACCATTTTGTCATATGATATCGCATTACCTAAAAATTTGGTCGGTGACAAAAGTACACTTTTGCCACCCTTGTGCAGACTATCGCGGTCCTTGCTCCCGAGATTTCGGGCGCGCAGGCTCAAACCTTCTGATGTAATTTGTTTCACTAATCGATTCTGTAAAAGAATGCACGTACGCAGGCAATCATGGGATCGCCTAGTTCGTTTTTAAACTCATTTCAACCCACTATTTTCAACACCACTGAGGCCCCTTATTTTTTCCGGGCGCGGGTGTCTCTTGGACAGAACACTACGGGGCGCATTGTTCTTCCCGGTCAGGAGCTAAAGGGCCTTTCCGTTCCACCGTAGGAGCCTTTCGGTTGACTTTCTGGCGATTCGGGGCAGGATCCCCTGATATGTCCGCAAGCCTTTAGAGGGATATGTTATGTCACATTGATCCCTTCCCGATGCGGAGGACCTTCTGACCTGTGCAGTTGGCCCCGAACCGACGTAGGAACCCTCATTCACGCAACAACATCCCTTCTCGCCGCGGGTGGTCCAATAATTGGCGCATAAACTCCACTTCGACTTCACGGGCCCATGCTGGAAATGGGTTGGAGAGCCCGCCTTTCGGTGCTGGGGGCCCTGACTGGCACAAAATCCTTTCATTGTTTCAATATTAACACTCATAAGCTAGATTTCCTTTCACCGTCAGAGGGCCCCGAACAACGCAAGAGGCCCTTTGTCATTCGAGGTCCCATCCCTGTCCCTGATGAACAAATGTTCCCCTGATCGACTCGAGGCCCCTTGTTGACACAGAATATCCTGGAAGGCACTAGGTTTCTGATCCATACAGGAGCCCCGTCATTGTTGCAGGGGCTACGGCCAATGCAAATCGCGGACCCAACCTTGTCCCTGCTTGGGAAGTGGGCCGCAAGAGATCAGACCGACGCGGAGCCGACTATTCGGTGTTGGTGATCTCCGGCCGAAATAGAGGAACGCTCTTTCTCACGAGTCCCCAGTCGGTACGAGATCATCTGAGATTTGAGATCTCACCTTACGGGCTGGGGGACCAAATGTGACCTACGGCCAGCCCTTCGGGTCCTTCAGCCTTCCAACTGGCCGCCCTTCATTTTCGATCCCAGGAGCCCGTCGTCCCCTCTTTGAACTCCTCGAACAAAGGCTATGACCGACTGAGGGTCACTAGCTGACACGCGACACCCTGCCAGGCACTGTGCGCCGCTGACCGACCCAGGGGTGCCAGCCATTGTTTCAGAGGCCCAGACAAATGCACGCCGCGTGCCCGCGGCCTTGCTTCTTCTTGGGAAATGGGCCCCCAGGGTTCAGATTGACAGGGAGCCAACTGTTCGGTGCTCGTGGTCTCTGGCCGACCGAGAAACCCTCATTGTTTCAGAGGGCCTAAAACGGTGCGAGAGGATCTTTGACTGATATTTCAGGTTACGACCCTACGGGCCAAGATTCTTTATGCGGCCTATAGACAGTCCTTGGGCCATTACGACCTCCAGACGGCCAGACTTTGATGGTCGGTTTCGGCGGGCCGTCCGGAACTCCTCTTCGGGCCTTATCGAACACTGCCATTGGTCGGCTCAGGGCCCTTGCCAGCACAGGATATTGTCAGGGGTTCACAGCGCCTAACAGGCGCCGTGAACCCCTGACAGACATAATTCAAGGGCCCGACCGGCATAAGTCACTGGCCCTGGCTTTATAACTGATTGGGGAGTGGGCCCATACGGTTACCTGAATAGGGCTCCGACCATACCTGAATAAGACTCAGACCAGCCCTTTGTGCCCTTAGACCCCCCCCCCCCCCCCACTGAGCCCTTAATCGACGGACCCTGCGGGCCCTCCAGGCTCTTCGGGCCTTCTCTGTGACCTACATCCAGCCCTTTGGGCCCTTATGCCCTTCAACCGAACCCTTAGTAGTCGGTTCCGTTGGGCCAACTGGGCCCCCTTCGCGCTACAGCGAACACTGCCTTTGATCGACTCGGGCTCCTTGCGAACACGGGACTCTCTGCTAAGCGCTGCGGCCCCTAACATGTACAGCGACCCAGACCAGTGTACATCGCTACCCCCGGCTTTGTAGCTGATTGGGAAGTGGGTCCTCAGCCCCATACCGACATGGGGCTGGGCCGCGCGGTACTGGTGGTGCCTGACCGGCATATAGGGCCATATCGACTCAGCCGATCCTCGATTGGCACAAAGGGCCCTCTGAATGTCATTTAAGGGCCTGTCCCTGCGGGCTGGAGACCCCGAATAAGACCCGACTAGCACTTCATGCCTTAAGCCCTCCAATCGGGGCCTCGATCATCGGCTTCGGTGGGCCCTCTTGGCTTTTCGGGCCTCCTCGAACCTCGCCCTTGACCGACTCGGGCCCCTTGCCAATACAGGGCCCGTGGCAAACGCTCAGACCCCGAACAGTGTAAATCGCTGACTCCTGCTTTGTCCCTGCTTGGGGAATGCATGCATGGGCGCAGACCCATGCCGACACGGAGCCAGCTGTGCGTAATTGGTGGGGTCTGACCGACAAATAGGCCTTGAGGGTTCAGGGGCCTATGATCAGCGCGGGGCTCTCTGGATGGCATTGAAGTACTCGCCCCTGCGGGCCGGGCCCCTGCATACGATCGCCAGTCGGCCTTTCGGGAACTTCTGGCGCTCAAATTGGGCCTTTGAGCTTAAGTCCCGGCCTCTCGGAACCTAGCGGGGGGCACGTACCTTCTGCGCCCCCCTCCCTGCGCTACTGCGCACGGAGTAGGGTACCGCTTCAATGGGCACTCTTAAGCGTTTGCTAGGGGTACCAAACTCAGAAAAATGTGAAATATGCTGGAACGAGTGCCAGTCCGGGTACGCAGGCACCCAACTAATAGCAAGAACGCGCGCCTCCACAGAAGGCTATCTTCCAGAGCCACGCTCAGAGTACCCGCACAGCAATGCTCACAAACAATTAAACAAGTGGTACTGCAGCGGATTAAAGACTCATCCGTCGCCCATTCCGTTCCGTTCGCCTACTTTTTCGTTTTTTTTTAGACCTTAACATCCGAAACAGCTCGGTTTTTACACAGCCTCAGCGTCAGGAAATCTGGGGCTGTTTCAGCCAGCTTGGAAGGGGCAACAATTTGGCAGGCGTGTTGCTTATCGGGCGCCCACCACCTCATTCCTATAGTCATTCATGCCACTGGCAGGGGCCAACAGCCACTTATTTCATACGGTCAGATGTATTGCTCACAGAAATATGTTGATGCGGCAGCTCGTTAAAACAGCCACCGGCAAGCGCGTCACCACACTCAATTCGCCTAGATGCACGATATCAGACATCAACTATGACGTCGACAGTCGCGTCGCTGTCCGCTTCACTCGCATGCGCCACTACTTGTTCATGGCGTAGTTTAGCCGCTCCCACAGGTACTTGGGATCCGCGTGGGCGTAGAACTCGCTGATTATGGGGCTGGTGAGGCCGCGGTCCGGGTGCTCGTAGATGGGCAAGTCATAGTACTGGCCCACCTTCCAGCCCTCCACGTTCTTCATCAGCTTGGCCTCCTCGTCGCGGTTCCGGCTCAGCTGCTTCAGGAACCTGGGCATGCCGATGCGTGGCGTTAGTGCGGCGGACAGGGGCTCAGGTGACAGAGTTTCCTGAATAACAGTAGACCAGGCGTGGCACTAGTGGGCTCGACCGCGTGTCTTCTTGGACTGCACGGCCTTCCGGCGCCGACTTCATGTCAAACGGCTGATTTATTAAAGGTGGAAAATTGGTAGGCGTGCATCGCTTGCGTATGCATGCCTAACAGCAAAGCCGAGAGCTGAGCCAGAAAGCACGGCTCCTGGATACTTGTAACAGCTAGATGGTTGTGCTCTTGGGCGGTGTTGTCCGGCTCAGCAGTCTTAAACATTTTTCCAACCGCTGATCGCGGCTTCATGACACTAACATTTCCACTATACTGAAAAATTAGTTACATGATCAGGTTGGATTAGCAGCGACACTGCAGGTTGACAAAAATGTAGCTTCAGGATCTCTTAGACAAGAAGCATACAATTTAGTGATTAATAAAACGACCTATGTAGAAAGGTCGAAAGCAGACCCAAATCTCGGCGACACCGCACCGCAACGTCACGCCACCGCGCCATTTCACGGGGAATGAAGCCGCCAGCTGTACCAACTCTAGTAGTCTCACCTGCCACACCTTGAACAAAATCAGTGCAGGGAATTTTTAGCTCCTTCAGTTCCCTATCCCAATGGACTTCAAAATCAACCAGCAATATTCAATGTCATAACAGTATTGCCCCTCACTTCTGACATAGCGAGCTTCAACATTCATGATTGCCTAGTTACCCCTGTTTTTAAAAGATATTTTGTCCTATGAAATGCCCACTAGAAGGATACTGGAATCAGTCATCACAAGACCGAGCCTGTTCCACACCCAGTAGCCATACCAATCAAATGGTTAAAAAGTGGCTAATTCTTCTCCATCTTAATAATCAAATCTTAATTCTTGTTTCATGCATCATGCTGTCATGACACAAACACCTAGTATTAGAAGAAACAGGATTCAAAAGATGATAAATGCATAGTTCAAAGCAAGCACACATCAAAGCTGGCCAGAAACTAGTTTTGGGTTGAGTAGAATGCACATAAACCAAGCCTACTGTGCTACCTATCCAAAATCACAGATTTTGTTTTCTAAAAAACCTTTTGCTTGTTGTGTGCCATTTAACATCCCTAGGCCCATCCAATGCCATTAATAGGCAGACTAAAGGGGCCTAAGCTGCTGACACCTGCCCTCCAATTGTTTCATACACTTGCTGGAGCATTTATAAAAGTGCTGTTTGTCAAATGCAATACTTACTCTCTGTCTCGTTCAGCCAAAAGGAGGGGAAAGATGGCATTATAGCAGCTTCTATTTTCCACCTTGCGAATCCTGAACACCTTGTGCATTCGGTTTGTGAGCCAGAATCCAAATGCAAAGAGGCCCAAATATCCAGCAATCATCTGGTACCCTGAAATAATAACATAAGCATTGTTGGCAGGCAACACCACATATACATCACCTAATACAATATCCACTGGCACAGCATCTGCAACAATCGCAGGTCATGAAGCAACAGGACCAAAACGATCAGCGTCCTATCTATGTGAGTAATGTCCATTGTTAACACACTGAACAACTTAAACCTTACAGGAAACATCCCAGCAATGTGGATACCAACCAAATGATAATGTTCTCAATATTTATTTAAAAAGCGATCATGTGTAGGCTCATTCTGAAGGAGACATTTGAAGCTGTAATTTGACATAGTTTCAACCAGGAGATATCAAGTCAATCTCACTGACCTGTAAAAAACTTCTTTGCAGGAACCCTTGTCCAATTAACAGCTGCATAGCCACCAGCTGGTGGCAAATCTTGCTTTATTTCAACCATGAGGTGATGTTAGAGAGGCGGAGGGATAAAAAAAACCTTATTTGTGGTATTGCGTCTATCACGCCGCCGTGCGCCGCGTTGAGTAAAAAGAACCTGTTAAGGATAACTGGGTTTGGCATACACCTCACCATCGCGAAACCTTGTGGCTTTCCTGTATTAGAGAGTTATTCACCTGCATTTTTTCTTAATGACAGTTTTTAGGAACTGAAACAAGATTAAAACAAAGAGATCTATTCCACAAATTTTAGTGGAACCAAATTGTTTTCATAAATGGGCACATTCTAATCCGGTTTATATTTCTCGAAAATAATTTCGGGCGCCGCTAGCGTCATCTGTAGGCAGCAAATATAACCTTAAGTAATTAGAATAGCCTACACGTAATCGTTCACGTTCGTTCACGTTCACTACACGTTCGTTCCAATCGTTCTATTAATTTTGTCCAGCGTGCTGATCTGTCTTATCATACCTACCTAAAGCCACGCTCCTTATCCATGACAACGTGTATGCCCATTACGTTCCATCGTGTGCTGTCTGGCGTCCTACATTCATGAACGGGCAAAGCGGGTGGCACCTTAGCGCCTGAAAATCATCTATGCTCCGGTGATGTTTAAAACAATAACTGAACATTGTAGGTATACACAAATGCGAGCTTTTGCTGGTTTTGGTGCTCCTCCCAGCCAGTCATTGACTGCGGCTCCAATGTAAGTCGTAAGTAAGTCCGGTGGGCTGGCTAGCCTCTTCCGTGCCACACTGCATGCGTCATTTATGCTGCGCGGTTCGTGGTCAACGCAGGATTGTGCCGGCAAGCCAGCCTGGTGGTCTAGGAAACCTCTTGAGGGTTATGCACGTGCCCGCGCGCTTTTAACGCAAATATTCGCTAGACTGGGATGCCACGAAGCGCCACACAGGGGTGCACACGTGAGTAGGTGGCAAATGGAGAATGTGCATCCCCCGCGACGATCAAGGGCTCCTTGTGCTGGCCGGGAGTCCCATTAACGGACCAGAGTCCGCAGGACCGGGCCCATAATGGGCCATAAGGGAGTCTTTTGCGGCGATCAAGGGTGCCCTAGAACAATAGGAGCTCTACATCGACCAGGGTTCACCAATGCCGGACAGCCGGCCCCGCGTCAGTCTGGGAGCCGTTCACCAAGCGGGGGCAAGATCGGGACTAGCGAACGTGACTCGGAAGGCCTCTTGCATTCACCTGTCTCTGTCTCTGTCTGTCTGAGTCTCTGAAACAATAGAGGGCGTCCCAGTGTCAGTCAATGGCCTCTAAGGCCTAACAGGGATTCTGCGTCTGTAAGGGCCCGAGTCGACCAGAAGCAAGTAAACGGACCCCAAATATCAAAGGATTCCTGGTTGGTCGGGGGCCAAGGGCGTCAATTTTTATAAATTGTTGGGAGCTAAACCAAATGTCCGGCAGCCTACCACTCCCCTCATATTTTTTTTCGTAGATTTAGCCCATTGCATTCTGATGAAAGGCAATACATGCTTTAATTTTGTATAATATATAAGAAGCCTCAACTTAAGCAACACCATATTTATGCAGAATTGGATCAAGGGAGCAGGCATTGGGCGCACGTACCTCTTTTGAGCGGCAAGTGAAGGCACCCATTTAAAGGCCACCTTAGCGTGCGTAAGGCGGTCTCTATGGCGGTTATGGGAGGCGGCACGCTTTTAAAGGCCACCTTAGCGGGCGTAAGACGGTCTCCTATGGCGGTTATGGAAGGCGGCACTCTTTTAAAGGCCACCTTAGCTTGCGTAAGGCGGTCTCCTATGGCGGTTATGGGAGGCGGCACGCATTTTGGTTGTGAGGCATGCGGGTAGGGCTTGCCGTCAAAGACATAGGTCATCCCCGTATTCCAGAGCTTTTCACTTCAACCTCACAAACCATTGCATGTCTTATCGCCCTAGGTGTGTGAAGTTTATTGCATCGTTTATCCACTTAGCTGTCACGATTTGCATCTGGTGGTGAGAGCAGCCATGACTTCTTGTTAAGAGGGAAGGAGGGCTTTATTGTTGGAAGGCGCACAGCTATATACGAGAAACATGCGTATTTATGGGGAGGCAAACATTTGGCTGCATTAACGGATCCAGCTACATGCTTTGGGGGCCGAGCCACCGGGCCAAATTACACACCCTACTTCAATTTCATTTTTGTCCTTGAATTGGGTCACAGCGCCCCCCCCCCCCCCGCAAAGTCGTGCAAAGTAGCGCTTCAGGTGCCAGCCTGTAGTTTGACGTTATTTGGCTAGTCTAGCTCAAAATTTGACACAAGTGAGTTCATACACAGGCCTTGCGGCCTAGTGAATTTAGTGTTTCTGATACTCTTGTTTTTTATCTCAGGGGTCAAACTGACCCCTCCCCTACCGGGTGCGTCGTAGTTAGCCGGCCACCCGTGCGCGTGTTAGATTGTTGATCTAGTCTTTCTCAAAAGTAGACGCAAGTGAGTTCATACACAGGTCTTCCTACCTTGTGAATTTAGTGCTTCTGATTCTCTAGTTATTTTTATTTCTTGCTTTTTATCATTTTATGTCATATATTGAGGTCTGGACAGCGTCTGAGGCGCGGTAAATGTCCATGACATGAACATATGCCATTTTGTAAGGCATTTTACATCCATGTGGGCTAGCTCCCCCTCATCACTAGAAAAAAATGACAGACTAGCCTACAAAATAAGATCCACAAAGTGCGTACGATTGCTGCGCATGGTGTTGCACTTCTCCCTTGCAGCTTGAAAGTTTCATTTAAAACGGAATCAATAAGTTCCCTGAAAATTGTAAAAGAGTGTGGCTAAACATTTTAAAGCATACCGACCACAGGATTTTACGTGAAACTTAAGCTTTCCTGTATTTTGGCCACAAAAAGAATGGTGTGCGGGTGCATGTGCAAATATGTATAAAAACATTATCAACGTTTTTATCAATAGTGACATATATTTATCCGAGTTTAACTATTCATGGCTGATTTATAGGTCAAATGTGACATCTTTGGAGAAAAAGTCAATGATGTGGCAGCTAACACGAGTTGTCTCTGTACAAACCCGTTGGCCGTAACGCATAAAATGCTCGCAAAATCTGTCTTGCCGCGAAGGCACACAGTCGTCACTGCCGAAGCCTGGCTTTGGTACAGCCGAGGTCAGCTGAACTTACGCCGAACACGTTCGTGATGTGGCGAAACGCGTGGTTGAAGGTTCGCCTTCCAGAACAAGTGTTTAGATACGGTTAGCCGAAGAGGGCCACTTGGCCACTGACTGGCAGCGTCAGCCTGATTACAGGGCGCCGAGGGTCGTGTGGTTGCATGACACGGTAAAGGCTCTTTGCTGCTATTTCGGTAAGGGCCCGAGTCAGAAAAGGTCCGTCAAACCTCCATTTCAGTAACGGAACGGCGGCTCGGAGTGCAATCGATGAATGATTTTCAGCACAGAATCCAATTCAAAATCCTTCCCAGCAAAATTGCTGTTTTTGTTGTGCATATTGTATATTGCATTTCATAGGCGAACCAACATTTTGAAGTAACGATGCCGCACCAAAAATAGTATTCTGTTACCCGATTATATGTTCTTATGAGACCGTACAGTAAAGAAAGTCTGGTTTCAAGTAGAACAACGTTTGGTTCGCGGCCTTCAATGGAAAATAGACAAAATAACGCTCGGCATAAAAGTCTCCACGAATGACCAGTGGATCAATAACGTCATTATCATGTTAAGGTTTCGGGAATGAGCTTCCGGGATCACGTTTGACGGAAAAAAAACATTACTTATAAAAGGGATTAACCCCAATTATCTCAAGTTACCCATCATTTGGGGTTGTGGATATCAAGCTGCTAAGCTGTATCCTGCATGGCGACGCCACTACGCAGAAAGACATAAGATAGTCTTTAAGTGATGGTCATCTTCAACCTACACTTTTTGTAGCACCCCAGCCAAAAACGTTAGGGGTGGCTCAAGTCAACATCTGGGGGACCAACTCAACATTGGGAGGGGCGGATCCCCCACAAAAGAGTGCAAATTGATACCCGTGGTTGGGATCCTCTTAGGATGAACGGGGATAAGCCAAATGACGAAGTGATGCAATAAGACGATGGAAGCATGGGTGTAGGAACAGAGGGGGGGGGGAAGACAGGGAGCCATGCCCCCCTCCCACACACACACACTCACTTTTCAAGGTGGGGGCCAGCAGTGCTAACGAGCCTCTCACTCTCCAGGTTAAAGTTGCGTTTAGCTTAATTTTACACCACACTTAACATACATGCCCATTCACCTAGTTCACCGGCTATCTTCCTCAAGATGCGTCATCTTTTTCGTTTGTTTATTAACCATCGCTTAATATCACAGCCGCAGGCCGACGCCGCGCGGCCCATGGAGACCGCAACGCCAGACGTCGAGGCTGTTGTTATGATTTGCGAGCGCTCATGTTCAAAACCATATTACAAGGCTTTTTTATCGGGAACCAATTCCAACTGAACATTGAGCATTTGAAGACGAACATGGATCAGCCATGCTAATACAAATTTTGGACCCCATTTCATCTACAATCTATCTTCAGGGAGTCCTCAATGTCTCTGAAGAACACAGAAAAACATGCAACTGGAGTTTATGTGACAATTATTGGACCACCTACGGCTATCAGGGATGTCGTTGCGTCATTGAGGGTTCCTGTGCTGATCTGGGGCCAACTGCGCGGGTCAGAAGGCGTCTGGTGCCAGGAAGGGGAACAATACGATATATCCTTCTAATGGTCTTCGGATCGACTAGGAGATCTCGCCCCGTGTTGCTGGAGTGACAGCCAAAAGACACTTCGCGATGGGACGGAGTGGCCCTTCGGCCCTTGACCGGAGCCGGCATCGTGCCCCTGGTGCCCTACTCAGGGGATCCCTTGCTCGGAAGGAAGTAAGGGGTGTCATTATAATTGAGCATAGTGGGGGAACTATTATGGTTGAATAGAATGGGTCGAAATAATTTTTGAAAAAAACGAATAAGGCCATCCCATGGTTGCCTGAGAGCGTTCATTTTTGTCAAAATGGATTTGTGAAAAATTGCATCAAAAGGTTTGAACATGCCCACCCGCAACCTCGCGAGCAAGGGCAGCTATGACCTGGGTTACATCTTCCGCAAAACCGAACTGTGTCGGTCACTGCAAGTGCCACCAGACGGCAGGTGCCGTATTAATCTGTCTTCTAGACAGATTATTAGTTAATGAAACACGAAGAATAGAGATTCTACCTTTACTATTCCAGTTCTACCACGAGATTCCAGCATCACTTCTCGGTTCTTTAACACGCGCCCGGTTGGCCGGCTAGATACCCTTCGCTCTGGTGGAGGGGATCAATTTGACCCCGCTGGGATCTCGGTAACTAAGAAAGCTAGAAGCACCAAATTTACAGGGTGTGTTGACCTGTACTTGAACTTACTTTGGTTTCGGTTTCAGGCTCCTAGGTTATGACCTTTGGGTCAAAAAAGGTCAAACGAGGTCAAGTTCCAGGTTGATCTCCAAAGTGCCCCTAAAACCTAGATAATCGTTTCTAAACAAAAGGCCACATGATCGTTCAAGGTCTGTGATCTTGTTTGACCTTTTGAAGGTCAAGGTAACTAAAATCACACAAGATGGGCTAACGCTCCGCGGACAATGAAAACTGCAACGCCTGGGGCCGGAGTTTTTGTTGCGAAAATTTGCGAGCACGCATATTAAAAAGCAATGTTACGTAAATTGTGCCACTTCTCGTTTCTGACCGAATGCTAAACATTTCCAAACAAACATGGCTTGGCCATGCTGGTACACATTGCTGACCATTCGTTCTGCAATCAAATTTTCATCTTCAAATTTCGATCAAACATATCGATCTACAATCTACCTTCGCGATGTCGTGAATGTCTGTGTAGTACAGGCATTCTGTGATGAATTTTAAAAATTTTCCATTTATTATTAAAAAACATTTATTAAAAATAAATTAATGTATCATTTATTACAAACAAATGTATAAAATATATCTTATTTTTTAAAAACTCATTATAAATAAATAATTGAATACATATGTTAATTTGATTCTGTGATGAATAATTAATGTCTGTATAATTCAAACATTCTGTAACAACAAAACATTCTGACAAATGATTCTGAACTTCAAAAGAAGGGTCAAAAGGAAAGGAAAATGAAACATTCAGATAAAAGGTGCAAATTCTGTCAGTTTGTTAAGATTACACTAAACCATTGCAAATAAAGGGCGCCGGCGATTTATTACATGCGGTCGTTCAATGCCTGATTTCTGCAGTTTATTGACTTCAAGATGCCAGCAAAATTGATCTGACGGTAGCTTTTGGTATTTGTTCTGGTTACAAGAAAAAATAACAATGAAAGGAAGAAAACCGTGTCCTTTGTTAACAAGTCATATCCGGGGATTTTTGAGGATCACCACAAAAAGGGCTTTTGTCAACCCTGTGCTCCCCTCAGCAATGTTCTGACCACGCCCCTGTCTACACTCAAAAGCAAATCAAGTCGTCGTCCTTGAATCATGGACAATGGTCAATCACATGTTTTACATACCAATTAGTAATAATGCTGATCCAGAAATATGCAGCAAAGCAGACACACGATCAGTTTGCAGTCAGTCATGCGGGAGACAGTCGGGCCAGGGCAGTGGCCGCCGACGGCGGACGGGAGCAGGGCCCAGATAAGGAATGTATGACAGGTTCTGTGGCTTGGTTTTTTAGCACGCGCTCGGGTAGGGGGTCAAATTGACCTCCCCGAAGGTTTTGCCAAAATGGCTTCCGAATGGTGCAGCGTAGCGGTGCCAAATTTTGCATAGCTGTAGAAATTCAATAGCGGATCGTTTGGTGAGAACAATTTAGATGTACCTTGTAAGGTCGCTGACCTATGGTAGGTCAAAGTCAGGCCATGGCTTTAGCGACGGCAACTTCCAGGGAATCGATTATTCTGATGCAACAACGGAGTGTTAGACGAACCCATACATCTTTGAGATGTTTTCTTAGGCAACCCAACAATTTAATGAGCAAATTAAATTGACCTAAGGTCGGCTAAAAGGTCAGGCCAAGGTCAAAACCAGCCTGTTCTATTACTCTAGGGTTTGTTGCATGGGATGCTCTCTGGTGCTCATTTCGAACTTATTGATGGCAGGAACCGCAATATACATCTTCCATGGACTTCCTAGAGGTCAGAATAGGTCACTGACCTAAGATGACCCGGGTCAGCTTTTTTTAGGTACATACTGCCTAGCGTGATCTTTGTCGCTGATCAAAATGCAAAACTCAGAGCAATCTCGTATGATTCTGGTCACCATGACCTTCGAAAGCTCAAATAAGGTCATTGACTTTAAATGAGCATGTGGGATTTTGCTTAGAAGCAGTTATCTAGGTTCTAGAGGCACTTTAAAGACCAACCTGGAGTTTGGTCTTCTTTGGCCTTATTTGACCCGAAGGTCATAACCATGCAGCCTCAAACTTGGACCTAAATTAGTTTTTGTACAGGTCAACACACCCTGTGAACTTGGTGCCTCCAGCTTTTTTAGTTCCCGAGATCTCAGGAGGGTCAAATTGACTCCCCACCCGAGCGAAGGGTATCCAGCTGGCCACCCGGGCGAGTGTTAGCGGAGAATCTCCAGTTTTGTATCCTATCGTTTTGGCAGTTTTAAGTTTCGGAACTTGTTTCTGTGTAAAATGCTACAACAAGCCTTATCTCTGGAAAAGCAGCCAGGGAAACGAAGGCGCATAAAAATATGTCGCACTTTGAGCCATTAATTCACTTTCAAAATCATCACCAGTCTACATCCAGGCCGTATTTTGGCGTCTATCCTGCGGAGGCAGATACCTCCTCAGTGACCCAAAATGCTTACCGGCTAGTGGAATTTCGTATCCAAAGGGAAGACAGTGTTCAAATGGAGCAATGATCTTGGGAAGCCGGATAGCCTTATTTGCAGAATAACATAGATGAGTCGATTAGGCAAGATTGTGCACCAGCGAGAAACAGCTCTAGGTGCATATTTAGCATAGCAGCCATGACATTTAAACAAAGAGCGATAACAGCCTCTTGTCTACCCTCCCCCCGTCATTGGGCTTTCTTTCTAGAAAAAGTGCCTGAAGCACGCCCTGAGCTTGCCCCCCCCCCCCCACACACTTTTTGAAACGTTCCCACGTCTATGGATGGAAGGGTCATGTGCCAGCCAGGGACACAGGTACAGAATACCTAACAACACATATATACTGATTTTGCTTTGCTATTTGCTGTAGCCGGTAGAAGTAAGGCCACCGTTTAAGTATGTATACAAATTGCAGATAGGCGGGATTCAAGCTTGACCCCCTAGTTTGCACCTGCATTCACACGGAACTATTTGACATGGGACTTCATCTGTTTTGGGTTCATAACCGTTATGGTGAACAACGATATAGAAGGTCCGCCAGGTGCTTAAAAACTAGCCTTCTGTCGCATGTGTTATCCTGTTCTCGTGCGTTTGCTCTTAATACGTTATTTCTTGGTTCCAATCAGAAGCAAGCTGAGCTCGGCGGCAGATTAAGAAAATCGACCAACATGATTTATAAGGTGGGATTCATAGTCATGGGTATAGTTTGACTTGCCATTGGTTAATGTGACCTAAGATGACCTTCGTGTGACCCGATTCGATCTTCGATTACTTTTTTGTTGTAAATTTGCAGGTGGAGAAAAATGAGTGTTTTTGGTGGATGTTCGTCACAAAGCTCTACGGGAAAAACCATATGCACCAGGCGGTACACAAGTAAGTGCTTGCCGATGTGCACTGATACTTATAAAGCATTCCATGACCTACGTTGTTATAGGTCATCTAAATTGGGATAGCTGGGCTGGTATAATAATGTTAAGTACAAGGTTTTCATATAATGTAAAGCAAACAATTATTCTGTACTTTACGACAGAAAACGGATGCCCGCTCAAATCACGCTCTCGTTGGTCGCACGAAGCAAGTTGGGCCGTCAGGTGCTACGTTGAATAAGACGCTGTCGTGAGGGCGAACAACACGCGTGGAAATATACGTTTTCAGCCGTTTTATTAACATCAACATGGCGTACCGTTCTGTCCACTATCGAACAACACGTTATTCACATACTAGAAGCCGAAGATACTTCGCTATTCGACCGACATGCGGTACAGTCTATGTACAAAGTGGTATTTGACGCGTCCGAAACGCACATGCACCACGGCGGTATATATCATAGGCGCATTCCTGAAAAAAGCCTCGATATTCCAAAGAAGCGCATTATTTTTGCTTCGGAGTCTTCAGTACGAGATTCGACTGTGCCTTCACGTCCTTTATTAGTATAACAATCGTAATTTGCAATGCTTAAGAGGCATGAGTAGTTTGCTCAAGTTTGTGTATCTGAGATGGATAAAGCACAGGCGTGCGCAGAGAACATGACAGAAGACATTTGTAGTGCAGGCGAGCTAAGCTGTTCCGACTGACGAGAATTGTTTCAGAGTTTCCGTTGCCTGATCCGATATCACCTAGTATAATCTCCTGAGCCTGGGATCAGCTATCAAGTAGATACTACGTTAGAAAAAGCGTCAATGGAAAGCATGGTTAGCATTACTTCTGCATTACCGATGGTTGTGAGTGCGTGTAAGGTCGTCCTTAGCGGTTTACCAGAAGCGTTAATGTACTTTGCTGTAATCGGAGGTCATGCGCAGGGCACAGAGCTGCTACCTGGGAGAGCATCACACGTTCGACACAAACAATTGCACAGTGCACACTGAATCCGTTGTGTGGCCGCCAGAGGCATGTCCTAGTCTTGACCGACTCGCAGCCTCGACAGCCCCAAGATGCGCCGGTTCCACGTCACTCCCAAACGCCCTAGGGAGCGGCAGCGTTGGTGACCGCCGCGAGGCACCAGGCGTGCTACACGCAGCCACTGCCACCACTGTCGTTCCTGGCCTCGCCTCAGGGGGCACGGCGCGGCGCGGAGATTTGGCGTCCTCCCCGCTCGTGGGAGCCCTGTCCGGTACCTTGCGACCGGCGAGGGTGTTCCACGAGTTTAGTGCGGATCACAGCCGGGATCTCTGGCAAGATCCCGGCCGTGCCCCCGTCCGTACCCTCAGCCGTGATCTGGGTGGTGGTCGGAGTCGTCTCCGGGCCGTGACCTCGGCCGTGACCTCGGCCGTGGCTCCGCCTGTGACCCTGATCGCGGTCTCAGTCGTCGCCGGCTGGCTTGTCGCGCACTCGGTTCGGCCGGATCATCATGACGGAACGCTTCAGCGAGTAATCCCAGCCTCGCCAGCGGTACCAGACAATGCCTGTCGACGGAGAGCAGGTCAAGAGACAGCCACAGAGGACACAAGCACGGGGAGCACTGTGCCGGGCACAAGCGAGACAAATCACTTTCTGCGCCACTGATCCCTGGGAGAAAACCGCTTATTGCGGCTGCGACACTTCTAACGGCCCGAGTGAGGCCGACAGCCGCGGTACCACGTAGCGATAAAACTATCACCCGAAAAAAATGCATCACTGACCTGCGTTCGCTCAGAGAACATGTGTGAATTCAAAGACATACCAAAAAGGGAGGGATAGGTGACGGGATGGGCAACATTTGCCTCCAGTCTCCGGGCATTTCTTTCGAACTGTCAATTAAAAAAAGACTGGGATGTGTTAAGACGATATTTAACATATTGCCTTAGATTACAGGCTTTTGAACACTGTGGACATTTTGTTTTCATAGCAGTGTTCATCTGTCTCAAAAAATGTCCCCACAACAGCCTCCTGAACACTAACGCACTTCTGCAAAGTCCAGCATAACCCATACTTGCCATGGTTGCTATTTTCCTGCGATTGTCACGTGTAGCCGCTGAGCGCGTGGACCGAGGCTTACATGTCTAGTTCCCAGACCACAATGTATGCGTGAACCACACCTATGTAAGTTGCTAACAATTTTCGACAACGCTTGTCGGATACTACTTCGCCTTTCTAGCACCCTTAATTGCATTATTGAAATTGACATTTCAGGTGGATCACACTGCACAAGCTTGGGCAGACCCTGGAATATTATTAAAATGGCAAATGTTGCTTATCTCGCAGTTGTGCAGTCACGGAAACCGGTCATGCATGAGACAGTAGGACAGCCAGCTTCTATAACATCAAGTGAGAGTTCGTTGGTTATGGGCATGGAAGCTGCATACCCGGTCCTATATAACGATAGCTGTCGGACAAGCAGTGCAAGCCAAATCAGAACAGTTCTAGAATGCCAGATAGGCACGACAGAGTCCGATTGGCACGGTTAGTGGCGTCCTTTTCCACCTGGGCAAAATACCACTGACGTCACGAGATGACGTAGAGAATACACGACGCTCAAGATATAGCTATCACTTTTTTCACGCAGAGACTACCCCAGGGACAGTTGCGGCTGATTACGCGCACCGCCCGTCCGGCGTGTTTGGGCCGGTCGGCGGGTTACCTTGTCGGGCGATGACGTCATTGGGGTCCGCCAGGTAGAGACCGTTGAGGCCGCGGCCACAGGAGCGCCACCACCAGCCGCCCTTTAGCATGCTCGCACAGTTAAGGCTCGACCGGTCGTTGTCCCTGTGGAGAGAACAGCGCGTGGGGTGAGGTCAGTCCGGCTCCGCGGTCGGTGGGGTGAGGTCAGTCCGGCTCCGCGGCCGGTGGGGTGAGGTCAGTCCGACTCCGCGGTCGGTAGGGTTAGGTCAGTCCGGCTCCGCGGTCAGTGGGTGAGGTCGGTCCGACTCCGTGGTCGGTAGGGTGAGGTCAGTCCGGCTCCGCGGTCGGTGGGGAGAGGTCGGTCCGACTCCACGATCTGTGGGGTGAGGTTAGTCCAGCTCCGCGGTCGGTAGGGTGAAGTCAGCCCGGCTCCGCGGTTGGTGGGGTAAGGTCAGTCCGGCTCCGCGATCTGTGGAGTGAGGTCAGTCCGGCTCCGCGGTCGGTGGGGTAGGTCAGTCCGGCTCCGCGGTCGTGCCCTTGGTGGATGCTATGGGGATGGACAGTGGTGACTTGTCGGAAAGGCGTGCAATGCTGGTTTTATTCATTTAGGTTAGGCTAGATGCCGGTCATCGGCGTCATCTTGCGCCAGGACAGGTCGGGGTCTGAGCTGGGTTTATCCGTCATGTTTGTAAGAGGCGTACGGTTGTGAACTTACCACGCCCCAAATCGCAAATGGCCAATCGATTCATCACAGCTCATAGCGGATACTTATAGCGTATTGGGGCTAGCATCGCAACGGCGTAGATAGATGCTGATGTCATTGTTTTCATTTCTGCAGGCAGGTCACGTGTGGCCATTTCTGGCTTCCAGATGCTGTCTCTCACCTGTCGTAGGTGGAAAACGGGTTCAGATTGCTGCCATACCAGGGGTCATTCATCGAGTCTCCGGCGTTACCCTCGTAGCCACCGATCTCTAGCTTGTAGTTGTCATCCTCGCCATGCATCTTGAACGTGTTGTATTGAGCATACCTGTCAGCAAAGCCAGAGTCACAACGATCACACGCTGCTAGGCTTGGTGAAAGCCATATGTGAGTCTGGTTACTTAAGTAAACGCCTTGCTTCGACGGCTGTCTGTTCAAATGCAGCCAATTATAGCAATTGCTTGACGTAAGAGTAACTATGACAACACAAAGAAGTAACTAAACCATCGTCACCTCTTCTCGTTGTCGAAGTCCTCCAGCTCGATCCTTAGCTGGTAGTCCTCGGTGTTGGTCAGCATAAAGATGTTCTCGTTGCCTAGCCAGAAGGCGGTGGTGGGGCTGCCAAAGCCCTGCTTGTACTCCTCCCAGGCCTGGTTGAAGCTCTGCTGGTCGGCCTCGGCGTAGTTGTCCCGTCGCTGGATGACCTGGAACCACGGGCTGGTCACGATGGTGGTGCTCACGTGCAGCTTGACGCCCGCTTTCGCTCTGATCTGGGAATTGCCGAGCATGTACTGCCACGGCAGGCGATAGCAAACACCGTCAAAGCACACCAGGAAGTCAGTATGCGGAACGAGCAGTGGCCACGTTGTGGTCCGTACCAAACGCCACGATCTCTCAGATAGCCAACAAGGCTCGTCAAATGTCAGAAGGGGCCTTCTTGAGCTGCTATGTGAAATGTCAAAAGGGACCCCCTCCGACGGTACTGCCGCACGCCAGAGCAAACTGCTTGTCCTGTGAGCGTACCGTCCAGCCGCCGCCGTCCGTTTCCATGTCACAGAACACCTTGAGGTACCAAAAGGTGGTTCCGTGGATGTGCAAGTAGTAGATTCCCGACTCGTTAACACCCCGATCCAGGAAGTCACGACAAGAGTAGCCCTGGAACAGAATCCCCGTCGTGCGATAACACCACGATTGGGCACCGTTCAGTGATCATCTCATAAGCATGGAGTGCAGTGTGGACATGTGTCAACATGTGTTTGGCAGCGGCCTTATAAATACGCGTAATTACCTTGGCATAGATTTCCGCTTAGCAGGCGTAAGTCATGATGCATGTACCTCACCCACACAGAACATAAAGCTACGACAGACAGCCTCGTACCGCATCCAGCGCGAAACGACAGCCTTCGAGGCCTGCAAGACCAGTGCCTCCTCGCAGAGAAAAGGGAGCTGACAAAGCGGACCGGGGCCTCACCCCAACGTTCGTGCTGCTGTTGCCCTCCGTGGTGACGATGAAGGAGGTGTTGAGGTCGCTGGAGGGAGGCGCCCGTCCCGGGAAGACTATGCCGCTGGGCCTGCCACGGTTCTCCGGACGCGGCACGGCGGTGGTCGGAGCATCGCCGACAGACGTGTAGTTCTCGTGCGCCTTCAGAAATTGTTCGTCCAGCAGGTCGAAGGGGGCCTGTCAGAGCATCACAAGTTTTAGTCTAAGTGCTGATTGTTCTGACCGGATCTGACTGATCACCAGCATGTTAAAAATGCGCCTTTGATTTCTGTACCTTAGACTTTCTGCACATAAACTGCATACAAATATAGTCGTTTTTCCAAACATGAACGATATCATGACGTACCCTCATCTCCCGAATGCTTCTAGTGCCACGTGAACGAAACATCGCAAAGTACGAAACATCATAAAGCGGCGACGGAATGAATTTGCCCCGCGGCACATTCCCAAGGTCATCGGCTTGCAGCGCGCGCACCGCCCGCAGCGAAGCCCGCCGTGCTCACCGCTCTCCAGCGGCACTCACCTCCTTGTCGAGCCGGCCGACCGCGGCGGCCGTGCTGGTGGCCGGTCGGGTCGGGAGCGACGCCGGCCGCGTCGGGAATGTGACCGGACGGATGTAGCGCTTGCTGGCCGAGCTGGGGTCGCCAGAGTCGGGGGCCGGCCCGGCGCCAGTCGACGGCGGCCGCTCCTCGCTCAGTCGCTGCTCCACCATGCCGAGGTTGTCGATGATCTGCTTGGTGCGCTCCTGCAGGTCGCTGTGGATGTCGTTGATGGCGCGCTCCTGGCGGCTGGTCGTGTGGATGAGCTCGTCCGATTTGGGCACCAGGTCGTCGATCGAGGACTTGGTGCCCACCACCACGTTCCACACCTCGTCCATCTTGGAGGAGACGTCCATCAGCGGCTGGATCTTGTCAACCAGCACGTCCAGCTTCGAGCGGGCGGTCGTGCTGTTGTCGCGCGGCGCCTCCAGCAACACGCCGGACACCGTCGACACCGAGCGGAAGATGTCAGAAAGGTTCTCCGACACTTGGGACATGTGGAAGCCGAACTTTGTATCCATGGCGACCACCTTGCCACGCAGCTCGTTGATCACTTGCGACATCTTCTCGGCGTCCTGGTATGGAGCGGCAAAATCGAGAAATACGTGAGAACTCTGATTTTGCGCCGTTCTTTTGTCTACTGCTGCCTGGCTGCATTAACATTTTCGTCTCATGAGAGGGCATTTTCACGCAATGTCATGCACCCAAAAAATATAATGTTGAGAACACGGGCCCGCAGACCTGAGGATATAAGCAGAAACGGGCACCACCTCCGGAACCTGTGTAAGTACGGCAGTGACACACCTTGACCAGCCCCCAAATAGCCCTGTGTGAGTGCGACAGTGACCCACCTTGATCAGCCCCTCAGAGTCCTGTGTAAGTGCGGTAGTGACCCTCTTTGACCAGCTCCTCAGAGCCCTGTGTGAGTGCGGCAGTGATCCACCCTGATCAGCCCCTCAGAGCCCTGTGTGAGTGCGGCAGGGACTCACCTTGACCAGCCTTTCGGGCACAACGTCGGGACCTCGCCCGCGCGCCCGCGCCAGGTTTCGCTTGATCTGCACCGGCCGGGCGACCGGCACCGTCCTGTTGGCCACCGTGCGCTGCAGCTCAGTGACCGCCAGCTGCAGCCGCCGTAGCCGGCCGTCCACAGATGTCAGCTGCGGGCTGGCGTTGCCGGCAGGTGGTGGCCGCCGGGAGAGCAGCTGCTCCAGCTGGTCCATCCTGCCGAACAGAGCTGGTGGTCACTTTTAAAGCTTTGGGCGCGAGACGGGTGGGATTTTAGGGGGCCATGTTTGTCGTCAATGTGTCTCTAGGTATCTAGGGAGTTTAATGTAAGGAGGTCTGGATTTGCCCCTATTAGTCCTGAAGTTGTAATGGTGGGCGGTGGCACTTAAGTCTTAAGGTATAATGCGTATTTTTGCTAGGTAGAGTTGTGGCTAATCATAGCAATCGATGTTGCTCAACAAACTCCCCAGCCTGTCTCATACACGCATTTACAAATTGTGCTGAATAAACTGCGTGAAACAGCCGTTTTGGTGGAGGTCGTGCAGTCAATCATGCATTCGCCAGCAGCGACAATTCACCGTTGGAAAGGCTTCATTAGTGTAGCATATCCCAGAACAAACATGTCACTGTCATCTGTTGCTTTGCATGCCGTCACCACTGTGCGCGTGTTTTTAATAAGAATAACGCGTCAATGCGTTTTTGAATAAGTAGACCTTCACATCTACGCCGAACGAGATGTTCCAACAGCATGACGGAATTACAGCTAGCGCGCTTAGTACCATGCCAGGTACACAAGAACACCACTATGTCTCGATCGCCGCCAGACTCGACCACCGATTGCTGCTGGAGACCTAACAGCCGCCAGAGAACTGCATCGATGCATTGTCTCAAGCTCAGCTCCCTCGCCGTGGCCTTAGACGTCTTATATAGCGCATCAGGCGATCAGTTCATTTTGCCATGTAGCCAAACAGCAGTAAGCTCTAACCGCCATAATGTCGTCGAGCCTTAAAGCCTGAAGTTCACGCAACATCGAGATGCACTTTCGTGTTGCGTCATTTACTCAAAACGCATCACCTGCACGGAGAATGCGAGATGTACCAACTGGAGTTTGAACAGCGTTCAAACGTTTTGTTCCTTTCCGTTAACACGCGCCCGGGCGGCCGGCTGAATACGCTTCGCTCGGATGGGAGTGAGGATAGTGGAACGATTTGACCCCTAAGATAAAAACCAAGAGAGCTAAAGTAACTAAATTTACAGGGTACATTGGCCTGTATGTTAACTCACTTGTATCAGAATTTGAGGAACATGAGTGTCAAATAATAGGTACCTTCGGGTCAAATAAGGCCAAACAAAGTCAGACCAAAGACTGGTGTCCAAAGTGCCCCTAGACCTCCTCATGCAATCGCCTTGGACCTAGATACCTGTTCGAAGCAAAAAGTCACTGGTGTTCATTTAAGATCAGTGACCTGCCTTAGTGTTTACCAGGTTAACGAAGCCAAACACAACGAGATTGCTTCGATTTTTTCTTTGGATAAGTTTGAAGTACTACGTCAGACGCTAAGACATCAAATGAAGATGTTTATGGTGAACCGTTCCTTAAGGGTTGATCTAGGTAATTTTAGCTTAGCGTCCTACTCTTACCTTGAAGAAATCCAAGGAAGATGTCCGTTGCGGTTCGTTATCAAGAAATTCTAAATGAACACCGGAAACTAACTCTTAAGCAAAGTCTTCCGTAAAAAAACAGGTAAGGCTCTTACCTCGGTCTGACCTTTATACCTCCTCTAGTTCAATTATATTTCTGTAATCCTGCATCCAACTGTTTTGTTGTTTAATAAGCGATCTCATAAAAATGACTTATGACTTATGACTTATGAATGACTTAATGACTTAAATATGACTTCGTCTGATACTTCCTTATCGCATCAGATTGACCGATTCCCTAGAAGCTGTCTTCGCTGATAGTCATGGCCTGACTAACCTGCCACTGACTTCGTGGTCCGTGATCTCACAAGGTACGCCTGATTACTTGTACCAAAAGACCCGCTATTAATTGTTTGCTGCTACGCAAAGGCTGGTGCTGCTGTGCGGCGCCGTTCTTAAGCTATTTTACAAAAAGGCTTCGGGGTGTAATCGACCCCTCCAGCCGAGAGCATGATAAAGTTGCTTCTTTTTTTGTCGCGCATCGCATGCAGTCGCTCCCCCGATGGGCACTGCTGCCTCGTGAGAGCGCTGTTTTAATATCGCGCTCTAAGCTGCGTCGCTATGGTAACCAGGGGGCACAGAGCCCATGACCGCTGATCCAGCCGCACGATCCATCCCCGGCGCCACACAAAAACGCCTCAAAGTGGCCCCTCGCGTCAGCCGCGCGGGACGCAGCGTCCATTACCTGGCAGGCGATGAAAGAGGCTTGAGCTTTAAGAATGAGTTGACATGAAGCGACTTCATCAGAGGTCACGTAAGGGCGTGTCAACATTGGTTCGTTTCATTGCCAGGATGCCGCATGCGCGTGCTGCCTCTGAGGCGGTGAGCCGTCGCAAGGTGCTAAAATTATGCTTTAAATGGAATTATTCTACGCAAAAGTCATGCTGTATTTCTGGCTTGTCTCCCACTGCAATACACGCTGGGAGATCCAGTTTCATTTTACAGTGATCTCCCTCGTGTTTCAGAGGAGGAGGGCCGATACCTTGACATATCAACTAAAAAGCAAGCATGAATTTCGTATGTCAGGTCCCGGAGGTATTAAGTCATCGCCGTTATTCTGCTCAACGACCTGCCGTCTCCGTAGATCGTGCACCTCGAGCAGATTTCAAACAACCACGTACTTGATATTTCCACGTGAGGTCTGGTAAGGTGAGAGTTAATAGCTTGCCAGTGTTCGTGATTCCATCAAGTTTGTCGACGTCGACATGTCATGTGGTAAGGGGAACAGACAGCGACGCCAAAGCTTGCCTCGTTGCACATGACTGACGGCTGGTTGTGCAACATGGTGGGTCTCATGACATTTAGCAGTGAGTTGACCTCAGGCTGGTACGTCAAGGCAACGTCTGAAGACAACACATACATCGACTTATTGCGTTGCACTCCTCATCGTGGTATGAGCGCTTTCCATGGGTCGGAAAATGTGTGGTCTCCACGATTTCTGAACCGGTTCCAGTGAAATACGGCAGCATAAGCGTATGCATGAAAATAAACAGCACATGCGTCCGTCACATTTCGGGCCAAGCTCACACGGCGCCAAATGCAGCAGGCGTGATTACAGGTTCATTCACTTTTTTTCATGAGTCGGCATTGCATTATTTAGTTCATTCCAACATTTGGACAGGACAGTTTTGAATTATATTTAATCTCAGCTCGGACTGTGCTGAAGTTTTTAGATCAATTTCAGCCCAATCAACGGACTTGGTGATTGATAACGTGCCTGACTGAAACATTGGATCAGCGTAGTTTGCTACTGCGTAACAAGCCGTCCTGTGTGATGACATCACGTGGTGTGAGCGAGCCCGGCGGCGACCCCTGCCGTTCGCACCTGGTAAGTATGGCGGCCGTCGTGTTGCGGTTCAGCTGCAGCTGCGCACCCATTCGCTCCAGCCGGCTCAGCACCGTCTGCAGACCCCGCTCCAGCGAGCTCACGCGCTGGAACTTCTCGTCCAGAGACGAGATCAGCACCTCGAACATGTTGAGCAGCAGCGGGTCCCTGCAGCAGGCCGGGTCATGACAGGCTGTGTACGAGCAGGGTCGTCACTGCGCGGCCTGGGTGGTGAAGATGCACTGCTCAGTATCACTATTGAAAGAAACTTGAACAAAACAAGGCGATCACCCCCCCAGAACAGGAGATGCAAGAAATCTTACAATGCTGTGTGGTTGGACAACTCCATTCATATCTGAGTGCTGTTTTTCTTTCTTTAATCAGTGAAACTATTCAAATTTAGTTTACGTTCAGACGAAACTAGTTAGACATGGGAATCTGCGTTGTGACAGAGATGCGCTACGGTAGGGAACGATTCCGGCAGTTCGTCGGGGTGTTTTTTAGGGAGGGGGAACGGCCTATCAAAAGGAATCGCAGGAAACTTAAGTGCCGCGATATGTGAAATATCAGGCAGTTTACAAGCTGCCTCGTTCACAGACAACACTAGCTACATTGCAAGCGCATAAAGTACCTATATCCCAACTTTTTCGGTTAAAGCAGACACCAAGCATGCGAGGACCTTGCGCAAACCAACCATAGTAAAATGCACATCAGCAAACCAGAGACTACTTGCGAAAGGCTAAACGTATTCAGCCCTCACCCTCCTCCAGCTTCAGAACAACCAAACGAATCACGCAAGAAAGGCGGCTCGTCAAATCCTCGGTACTTGGCGGCTGATCAGTTTGATACAGCGTCGAGTGATTTCTCGATATTAGGTCAGGTCATTCTGTTGCGACGCCATCATCGAGGGATCACACTATTTTTTCTTACTTGTTCCGGCAGCTACATGCAGTAATTTACGGTTGATACAAGTGTGGTGTGTGTGGGTGTGTGTGTGTGTGTGTGTGTGTGTGTGTGTGTGTGTGTGTGTGTGTGTGTGTGTGTGTGTGTGTGTGTGTGTGTGTGGTGTGTGTGTGTGTGTGTGGTGTGTGTGTGTGTGTGTGTGTGTGGTGTGTGTGTGTGTGGTGTGTGTGTGTGTGTGTGTGCGTGTGTGAGAGAGAGAGAGAGAGGAGAGAGAGAGAGAGAGAGAGAGAGAGAGAGAGAGAGAGAGAGAGAGAGAGAGAGAGAGAGAGAGGAGAGAGAGAGAGAGAGAGAGAGAGAGAGAGAGAGGAGAGAGAGAGAGAGAGCGAGAGAGAGAGAGAGACAGACTTGCAGGGTCTTTTGTCACAAATTATTATGTTGGAAATAAGCAGCTTTCAAATATCAGCATGTCCTGGTCAAATAAAGATCTGAAACAATTATTGATATGCATATATATATATATATATATATATATATATATATATATGTATAATGAGTATGCACTACGTTTCCAGCAATGCTGCGAAGCCTGGGCATGGGAATGAGCACTTCACATTGATATTCCCGTTAAACATGCCTTTCCTGGTGGTGGAAGTATGAGTTTTTCTGGGGGCAAGAAATGTAATCATTTGAGTTTGAGTTGAGTTTGAGTTTGTTCGAGTTTGAGTTGGCGTAACCGACAATAACATATCTATTACTACCCACCAGACGAATGACCTATATATGTCATGTGAGTTGGAAGAGGAGGCAATATTGCCTGTCGGCGTAATCTGACCCTGAACTAACATAGCCTTGACCTGACCTTGACCTTGACCGCTGATAACATTGCGGCATGATTTTGAACTGAAAAAAGTAGTTCTTCTACTTGGTGCCGGTTTCAGGCGCAGCGCCGACGGATGTTACAGGGTCGTAAGTCTTTTCAAGATTTTGCTGTTTCATCAAGCATATCACATATGTCAGCAATTCTCTGGGCGGTGAGGAAGGAACGGTTGCACTTTTAAGCTCGGAGTGTATCGCGGTGCGTGGAATGTTCTAGACACTGTCAGGTTTACAATGCCACTCACCCCAAAAGGAGCCGGCGGGGCCTCGCCGGGCGCGTTTTGACAGTATGCGGCAAAATGGAGAAAATAAACATCGCAATGAAATAACAAATGAAACATGTTATGCTGATAATACGCACAAGACTAACTGAGCAATAATACCTTGTGTGAAAGGCTTGTGGTCATGGCTTGGTTTCCAGCGCTGCTGAGGACATCGTCAATTTTCATAACTTATCCCAGTGGGGATGTGCACAATTTACGAAACGCACTTTCGTCTAAGAATAGTTCAGATTGAAAATATGACTTAATCAATGGATTTATCTGACTTCAGTAAGCCTTTATCTTATTTTTATATTATTTTGTAACCCATTTCTGTCAGACTTAGGCAACTTTCCTCAAAACATGCATAAAACACCAACGGTACGCCTCGTTATTTGTGGGTGATCTACGAAAATCGTAAATTCCCCCTCCCACCATCGCAAATTTACGATACGATGTGTGGCTGGCGCGGCGTCGCTAAAACCCGTTGACATGAGCAGAAATTGCGCCTTTCTTTCTAATCGTCGCAAAATCATCGGTTTGGTTGACTCATGTAAGCGGGGTAAGTGATTGCGTGCTGCCGTCTCCTGAGACCTTCATTGTCCAGGGTACAGATGTTAGACCCGTAATCTAGCGGCGCTGGATGCCTGTGTCAGAGTGGGTGCGTTGGTTGTGGAGGACTTCACGGTTTGGGTAAAACTATGGATATCCATATGGAATGTGCATCAGGTTGGGTTAGGCTGGGCACACATTCTGGGAAGTTTTGTACACCGTCACGGGCACGGGCTGCACGTTTACGAAATGTTGGGCAGATACTTCAAGAGATGATTCTGCGCTTCTTTTGGGCATAATTAGCTCCACTGTCAGTAATTTCACATCTTTCAGCGCAAAAGAGCAAGGGTGGGTACATCGTTCATCGAACTCATCCTTGCTTTAAAGCCAAAGTACTCGAACTTTGCGAGTAGTAGGGTAACGGATGCGTACAAATGATTAGAAATGGACAGCGAATGGCTATGTGTGCAGCCTCATGGGTAGCGGTGGACAGGGCAAAGTAAACTTTATCTGTGAAGGCCTTTAATCGCTTGGTACCACTGCTAGGTATAGATCGCCTGGCGCATGGCTAAAAAGGCTTGGCCCGAGCCTGTCGTGCCGTGGTACGGTTAGACACGGCAGAGTAATGAGTCCCACTGATAGGTAAAGATCACCTGGCATCTAGCCAAAGAAACCTGACCCGGGACTGCCGTGTCGTAGCACGGCCTTACATGGAAAAACATCCCCAACCCATCCTGGCAAAAAGACTGGAGGCAGGGTCATCTGCCGAACTGGAGTGGCACAGCTGGGTAGGGGAAGGTGAGAGGCGCCTACAGCAAGGTCTGCATAACAAGTCATCTGAATCCAATGTCATAAACGTGAGTCACTCGAAAAAGTTGGTTAGTGCAACAAAGAAACATGTGGGTCATGCACCGCGACAACACATCAAAATGTCTGCGCCATTAACACACTGGGAATAACAAACAAGTAATTTATGATTTCATGGCCAATGATAGACTGCGTGTAGCCCAGAGCTCCTTCGAATCTTGCTTCGAATTAAGGTCACTCAATGATAGTTTGTGACGCACTAAATAAACAACAACAGCGACACCCTTCCAGTGGGTAGGCGGAGCCTCCGACGTGCAAGACCCTTTGCAGAGGCCTCGGTACAAACCCAGCCCCGGTCCATTTCCGGTCCGGGTTCATGTCACCTTTAAACCTCTGACCCTGTCGACCAGTTTGATGTTCAGCCCGGACGTTGATGTCGGGGACCCGATGTCTACATCGGTGTCAATTGGATGAGGTAGACTTCAGGGCAAGAGCCGCGTTGATGGCATACCAACACGACCACAGCAACGCAAGTCCGCGTCGTGACGTTGATTTAAGCCCAATTACTGTAAGTGCAAGAGTGCGCTGTGTTGTAACACCGTTACACAACCCCGCTACATCAATGGCGTAAATAATAGGATTTGCGGTCGGCACTGTGCCCTGGTCCCGTTATGAAGTCCATTAATTTGCGTTCAGCACTGCCGGCGGAGCTCGGTCAGTCTTTAGCCTGGCCTAATGGCAGGCCGCATGTTGCACTCACACCTGTACAACACTTGCCGGCCATTAGCATGGCAGTATCACCCAAGTCATTCTCAAGGTGAATAGACTGTGATTAAACGCATCGCAGTACTGCAGTCACAGAACTGCACAGCTTTTGGTGTCGGTGGCGACAGCCATATCCATGCGCCCACGGTGAAGCAGAAATTAAAAGCGTGATGCTGACAGTTGGGCAGCCCGCTGGCATTTAGAGATAGTGTAATGGATTGAATTGTGACCAATGTGCAATGGAATGGAAAAGATAAACGAGCAACAAGGCATGCTGCGGCTTTCATCCGCAGCTTTTCTGCGCCCAGTTCCTGAAAAATACGTAAATCATGCATGGCATCTAGCAAAAAAAGGCAAATTCGGTCGCGTCAAATTTGATCCCGCTCCATCTAACAGAGTGCTCCAAACATGGGAGATGAAGCAGAAATAGTTCACGGTTATATATTCCCCCTGTTGAATGCGTTCTAATCCGCGACACTTGCGGCTCGGCCAGCAGAGATTGCAACGCACAGGGCTCTGCTGTTACTTCGCTGCCCGATGCCCACGCATTGGCTTCCCCCTTGACCACCTGAAGCCAAATCAGGGCGTAATAGGTCAGATGAGATAAGCCCGGCCGTAGAACATCTCGGACCTCGACGCTGCTAAGCGCCTGGTCACCAACATCATCAAAGAAGCGATATCGTCGGTGACGACGATCGATCTCTAGAGGACGCTCGACAGCGTTGACGATGATGTCCTCCTCACCAAGCTGCCTTGATGTGCCTTAACTGACACTGTCTGGTTTAGGAGTCCTGAGCAGATTGGGCGGGGCGGACGGCCCACACTCCCGATGTTGTGCAGCTTGCCCCAGGGCTCGAGCATGGGCCCGATTATCTTCATAATGCTCACTACTGACCCAGCTGGATATCTGCCCTATGGACACCACATTTCATATGCTGAACCTGACGGGCTAGGTCTTGATGCACTCAAAAACAGACTCAAGCTCACCTTAAGGGAACTTTAAGC